TTACACACATAATCTGAAGGGAATTTTATACTCCGATTTTAGGGTATCTGCCCTGACTGGTCCCATGAGGTCAGGTGTGGAATTCCCACTTGGAACCTCATGTCCTTACTCAAAAAGTTTTAGACTTTTATGCCATTTTAGATTCTGAATTTTCTGACTGGGGAGGTTCAACCCATACAGGCTTCAGTGGACTCAAGCACACTGAGCTGTCCTTGCACCCTAAACGCAGCCTGCTTCTCCAATCCTGGGCCCCTTACGTTTCATTCTTTTTCCTGGACTGAACACCACGTTCCTCTTGAGGAAAGCTGTGCTCTACCTGTCAGATCCCCGCTGGCCTCCAGAGAAGCCTCCTCTCTCTTTGGTCTTATTTATTGTTTCCACTGTGGTTCCCTCTCGCCACCAGCACTGAACTTGCTGTAACACCTCATAAAGATGTAGTATTATTTCTTTTAATCCTGTTGTGAGTCCATTGTAGACTGGGGCCTTGTATTCCTGTAGGCTGCAAGTGGTTTAGCACATGGCAACCACAGAGTGATTGGGATACAATAATTATATGAAAAAGGCTGATGAACAAGAGACGTTGAAGAAGGGAAATAGTTGCTGTGAAAACAAGGGACTTGATTCTCCTCAGGCCAGCATAGTAAAAGGTCACCATTTGTAAGAACCAACAGAAGGCAAGGCCATTGAAAGGAAGGATTCAGCATCTTCTCTCTTTTGAATGAGGCATGTGACTGAGCCTTGCGTTGAGCCCCCAGTCCCCAGGCTGGTCCAGCTGGGGCCACTACATTTAACCTCCATGGCCGCACCATGGATGAGGTCATGTTCACCACTTTTCATTACTCCTTCCTGACTATGCAGTTGATTTCTCCTAGAAGAGTGAGAGGGCTAAGAAGGAACAACAGGTCAAGCATGTTCAAAGCCAGAAAATGAGATCATCTCCCACCTGCTAGGGCTTTATCCCGTCTCTGGGGACCATCATTCGTGCTTAGCTGGATTACAGCTATGGATTCTAAGCCATTCAGTGCCAGGACATCAACTCCATGCTCTAACCTCATGCTCCATCTACCTACTTAGCTCCAGCCTTGAACCCCACCAATCTCCCCCCGAGTGGGATCTAAGGGAGTGGACCCCTTTCAGTGAGGCATGTGACACCTCTGCAGAAACCTCTCTTCACCCTTGAAATCCTCCTTCACCCCGTATCAAAATTCACAGGAGCTTAGTCTTCTACCTAAAATGGCATAATCTTTCTATACAACTCATGCCTATCCTGCTATATACTTGAAATCTTCTCTCAATGACTTATAAGTCAGGGTTCAGGCTGGGTGGGGTGGTATATTCCTATAATTCCTGAACTCTGAGAGGCTGAGGCAGGAAGAGTGCAAGGTCAAGTGTACCCTAGGCAATTCAGGAATGTAGTAAAGCACTGTCACAAAATAACACACAACTGAGGTTGTATCTCACTGTGAAGGCCCTTTGTTTAGTATCCAGTACCACAAATAAATTCAATATAACTTTCATGTTAATATAGCTGTTACATCATATTGTTTAGGAAAATACATGTTTAGTACAGAGGTGATTTTTTTCCCTAATATTTTCAGTTCAAGTTTAGATAAATCCAGAGATGTAGAACCCCTGACCCAGGGGGCACACTATAGTTTTGAGGAGCTCATAGACACATACCACCATTGTCGACACCCTAATGTCTCTGCTGCCAGAATCTCTTCATCAGAGGTGCTGCCCAGCCCATCAGTGCCATTCCTGAGGCTGTGCATTCATTCTGAATTCAGATTCATAGTGTTGAGGAAATGTGACGTGGCAAGGATTTGCAGGCCAGCCCTTGGGGAAGCGTGTGCTGCAAACCTCCCGAGTTCACCTCAGTGAATCAGCAGGTGTGCATTCCCTACCGTGAGCCAGGGCAAAACACCGCGTCAGCCCATCTGGAAGCAGTAGATTCTTTGTTGTGGAAGTTGATGGTGGAGGCTTCCCTACAGAGTTCCTGGGCTTCCTCCACTTGTACCCAGGGAGCCTGGAAAGAGCAAACTTACCCGTGAAGCAACCAAAAGTTGAGCTTTGAAGGAAGAGAAGGCACCAGATTTGTTACATAAAACGCGTGTCCAGGTCCCACCCTAAGTGCTGCAGCAAAGCCGGGTGACTAATCCCCTGCTGTCTGTTGAGGCTGGCACACTTCCTTCTTGTTCTTTGCCCAGAGATGTACTCACACCTACCTAGGGCTTCTCTGCCCCCTCTGACTCACTTATCTCAACTTCCAGAGGGAGGGAGGGAGTGCCACCAGCGGGATTCCACCAGCTGACCTCAGCAGTTGCCAGGCCCCAGCATGCTTGGACACTCAGGGGACAAGTTTGTGACCACAGCTGGCTTGCACTTCCATTCTCACCCACAGTCTAAGAGTGGGTGATTTTCCTGGGACTCAGTGACACCTCCTCAGCGACCTGAGCACTTCCCCAAGGAGCCAAGCCCTCTGCAGAGCAGTGAGACAGACCTCACTCAGAGGACTCATGCAGCAGGAAGGCAGCAAATGAGAGCAGGGCTTTGGTATCTGCTCCATTGCTGGGACCAACTGTGTAGTCACAGCCTCACTCAGAGGCACATACATTGTAAAGTCAGTTTGTGAAAGGGATCCTACCATCCAACAAGGCTAGAAAAACCCTGGAAAGGCCAGGGCAGCCATAGGAAAAGTGGATGGGGAGTGTCACTTTTCAATATTCATGGGTCGATCATAACAATCCTAGCACACACATTAAAAACAAAGCCTTCAAGGAGCAAAGAAAGAAGTTGGATTGATTTAAAAGTATAATGAGGTCTGCTGATTCTGCTGATATTTTGAACAAGGAGACTGGAATTTGGGGGCTTTGCTGGGCCTGAATCAGCATAGAGTCAGATGATGCAGTAGAACTTTGATATCCTCCAGTTTCCTCCTTATTTTAAAGTCAGTGGTATCTCCAGCTGACTTTAACCCTCCCAAAAGAACATAGAACATAAGCATTCAAGCAGTGGTGGCAGTATGGTTAAAAGCACCACAAGAGTCAGTTATGTTAGAATAGGACCTAGAAAGACCAAGAGTAGGAAGAAATTCCTCTCAAGCTGTTCAATGCTGAGCTAGGATTTCCGGTTTGAAGCTCTGGTCAGCAAGGTGGGCAGACTCAGAAAGGAAATGCAGAGCTTACCTGAGTGCTGACCACAGAGCCAAGGCTGAGGGCTGAGCTAGGAGGTTCCCCAGAAGAGGAGAGCTGTCCCAGCAGTGGGCCTCACTCCATAGGTGGAAATGCCTCTCCACTAGTGGAAAGCAAAAATCAAAAGAAAGCCAAAGAGAGGAGGGAAGGATGAAGTGAGAACAGTAATGAAGAATAAAGCAGTGTGTAGAGTGAGAGTGCAATGTCACAGACAAACTAATGTCAAGAAAGAAGCAAATCTCTACCAATGTAAGAGTTTTATTATCTTGAAATGGCCTTAAGCTCTTGGAGAAAAGCTCTAGCCAGATATGACTTTCATTAGATATTTCAGAAAAATGACAGTAAGAAAGGGAATGAGATAGAGACTCTTTGATGATCATGATGGCTAATAGTAGTGGTAGAGGAGCTTAATCATTCATATACTTAAGTAACTTTAAATCAAAAGTTAAAACAATGATTGCATCCAGCTGTGAATAGCTCATCCTATACCTGAATGTGTGTCACAAGACAAGGCCCCCAGAATACCTCTAAGTATAGGAGAGTCCAGCTTGCCAGCCTGCTAGAGCTAGCAGGACAGAGGGGCAGCATTGGACAGGCACTCCCAGCCCAGAGTCTGCCATTAGCCCTGCCCATAAGGTAGAGAAGGCCTTGCATAGGGCATTTCTTCAGCTGAGTCTGCCTAGAGGACACTGGAATCACCATGTCTAGCTCCTTTACAGTTTAGGATCACCAGTTGTCCAAAGAGAAACAGTAGGTACCACCAGGTGTGCAGTGAATAATCACAGTGGTTAAAACGTCACAGGAAATGTCAATTCTTGACTTCCCACGCTAAGTGTGGTAGTGGGATTGTATCCATGATGAGGCTCTTTAACATTTAGGAAAGGGCAGAAACCTCACTGCTGAAAAGATAGAAGCAGTTAACTTTTTCTAAGAAAGGGAAATACGGGCTAAATTTTTCCCCGAAAAAATTATAGATGGAGGATTATTTTAAAAAATAAGCACATTCAGTAGTGATTATGAGTAAATAGTGCTTACGAGATAGAAAATGAAAAACTCTGTCTTTAATCAGGCTTTAAGGAGTTTCAAGTGAGTCCTGTGTCTGGGGGGAAATTTATGGTCTGGAAATCAGTTCTGGATGCTCCTAACAATAAGTCCTCCTCCTCTTCCTCAGGCCTTCTCATTTCCTGCCTCCCTCCACCTGGCCAGCTCATGCATCCTACCACATGCCTTCACCTTGCTGAGGCCTGTGGGAGCTCCGGGGCCTACGGTGGAGGCCAGCAGCTCGGCAGCACCCCAAGGACCCTCTCTGCACAAACTGTCCCAGTCTAGTATTCTGAGGCAATGAGAACTGAAACACATGGAAGCCAATAAGATGAGCCTCCTATTAGGAAAAGGAATGAGTGCACAATTTTATTTAAAAAATCAATTTGCAATTCAAAACAAAAGATTTAAAATCACCCCTGTGATGCTGTCCCAAGGGAGTCACCAGAAACACACCTCCCACAATGCATACATAAATGTGTAACATTGTGAAAATGGAGAAGCCTGGCTGTCACCAAGGAGCACAAGTCTAAATGACATTGGGATTCCATCTCGTTCCAGTCAGAACAGCTAACACATCAAGAATACAAAATACAATAAACGCTGGTGAAGATGTGGGGGAAAAGGGACTCTTCTATACTTTCTATAGAAATGTCCATTAGTAGAACATAATGACATCAGTAAGAAGGTTACAGAGCTATGCCACTGCTCAATGCACACCCGCCCCTCAAGAATTGAAGTCAGAACACTACAGGGATGGCTGCTCACCCATGTTTACAGCAGCACGGTTCACAGCAGCTGAGCTGTGGAAGCGCCTGCTTGTCCATCGCAGATGAATGGATAATTAAAGTACATGACATAAACACACTGGAATAGTGTGAGCCATAAAGAATGCCCTGTCATTTTCAGGGACATGCACAGAGCTAGGGATCAACCTATGAATTGAAATAAGTTGGACCCAGAAAGTAAAACATTACATTTGATCTCAAATGAGGAACCTAGGGAAAAATAAATTTAAAAGACATGGTTTTTAGAACTATTTATAAAGTTCTAAAAAGTTAAACTAAGGCACATATCTATCCAAAATCATACACCTAAGTGCTCCTCATTGTTTTTGCTTGTTTGATTGGTGAAGTGACTGAGGATTAACACAGGACCTTGTTTATAAGCCCAGCCCATTTCTGTTTTGTTTTTTTGAGAGATTCTTGATACTTCCCAGGCTGGCCTTGAACTTGGGGTCCTCTTGCCTCAGCCTCCCAGAGTGCCAGATTCCATAGATGCACTAGGACCCCCAGACCTCCTAGCAATTTTATTTATCATAACCTGAAATTGGAAGTAACTCAGTTACCCACACAAAGATGATTCCATTTGCTATAGGTAATACTGATGTACTATTTATTAAAAAGAAGAAGTGAATCTGAATATTTTCACCATGAATGTCTTCATGATAAATGTACGACCTGACCTGTGCATTGCAGAAGGTGTATGTGGATCAGCGATCAACCAGCACCCCACTATCAGGTGATATTTTGTGTTTTATGTACCAGGTAAGAAAAACTAAAACCTGGTGAATGCTTGCATATATACAAGGTGCATGGACCAATCTCAGAATGTTTAATGAGCAAAAGATAAAAGAAATATTCTCTCTGCTTCTATTTAAGTCAAATTCTGGAAACATGCCACGTAGACAGAAAGCATTGGTGACCACTTCCAAATAGATAAAATGGCAGATGAGGGAGAGGTTGTACAGAGCCACAGGAAAAATTTCTGATGGGTGATTATTTTCATTGTTCTAACTATAGAAATATTTTCACAGATTTTGTTACATATACATAATAAAGTATATAAAAATACATACACTTTATTATATGTATGCTATACCTCAGAACAGCTGTTAAAAACAAATATCATTTCTCTTCCTGTCCATCTTGAGACTTCTAATTGTCCAAGCCCCAGTAGCACTTACCCTGTGCCCTCCTGCCCACCCCCCCAGGCAAAATCATCACTGTCCTGTGTTCTGTCCTCCTGACATGGATCGCATCTGCACTGTAGCTCATATCTATGTTTTTTTGTTTTTTTGTGGCGGAACTGGGGTTTGAACTCAGTCCCTTGTGCTTGGCAGGCAAGCACTAATTCTACTGAGCCATCTCCCCGGCCACTCCATATCTATGTTTGTAATGCATATAGGTGTCACTCTGGTAATTGCTGTGTTTCCTTGCTCTCTAGTGGCAATAGGAAACATTCTCATTGATATTTCAGTCAACATTAAGATGAGAAGGAAGGTTTACAAGGTTAGAAGAAAGGTACAAAGGATAAAAACAACACCCAATAGTGCACGACCAGCACCTTGAGCATTTAAGAGAACATCACTACAGCAGCCTAGGGAATAAATCATAAAGACATGGAGAAAGATTTCATTTCCCTAAAGACAGGCTGCTCATCAAGACAAATCACTACTGCCTGGTAGAAAGTAAAAGAAAACATACAGGGGGGCAGCCCTAGAGTGAGGGGAGTACTGAGAACAGGTGGCCTTGGCTGGGACTTTATTTTGTGTGATGTTTCTTTAAAAGTGTCCCTCCTGGGCTGGAGGCACAGCTCAGTGGCATAAGCACCTGCCTGACCAGAGAGAGGTCCTGAGTTACATCGCTGGTACTGCAAAAAAATAAAAAAAAGTAGAAGCGTCCCTCCTTCTGACTGCCTTCAAACACTGACTAGAAGGTGACATTTACGAAATGCATTGCTTGGTCCCTTGCATCCAGTCTGAAAGCTAGAGAAGCCCTATTAGGTTCCCAGTTACCATGCAGACCTTGGAGAAAGAGTAATGTAAATCCAGGATCACTGTTTTACTTCATTAAAGTAAATCATTTAGATGCTCTTGGAGAAACCATTTAATCTAGTTTAACCTCAGTTATTACCATCTATCAATCTGATAAAGTAAAAGCTGGCAGGCAGGATTAGCCCATGCTTGTCCCGTGCGGGTAGCAACCTCTTGGCCTTCACAATTCTTGCCTTCAAAAGTGGGCAGCAGGATGTACTCGCTGTGCTTTGCAACATGAAAATACTGTAAAAGCCAAGATGTGAAGGAGGGGCAGGGATGACCGCAGAAGGGGATGGGGAAGGAAGTAAGGGTGCTCGGTACACAGACCAACTCTCCATGATGGGAGTGAGCAGGACGCACTGCAAACTTGCTAATAGAAGTTTTAAAAATAAAATTTAAAATATATAATTTTCACATGAATTTGAAAAATAAAAACACAAGGCAACACCCAGTGATTCTGAGGGATGAAAATATGCATCCACACAACTTCTCGCTGGTATATACATGTTCACAGTAGTTTTACTCATGGAAGCCAAACTCTGTGTCCATTAAGTGAGAAACCTCCACAGTGGTGGACCTGGGTCTTACTCAGGCTGCAGAGGCACACTACGGAAAGTGAGTTGTACCCAAGTGTGAAAAGGACTCCCGAGACTGCCATAGCTCTTAGTAGCTGAACAAAAGCTGTACATTTCTGTCAATCAAAAGAACAGTGGCTGAGGACATTGCTTAGGGCTCAACACTAATCCTGGTAAGGCTCCATGACTGACAAAGGAAAAACGTGGCTTGCCATCCTAGGATTCTGACTTGTCACATGCGCCATACAGTTCTGAGGTCAGACTATCTTCCTAAGGAAGTCTACAGGTACAAGAATGAGTTAGGAAAAAAAAAAAATGAGTTAGATAGTAAAAGTTGTGTTTTTAACCTCTTCTATGCCATTTTTAAAACATCCTTTTAAAGAGGTACTGTGATGTGAGACTGTAATCCCAGGTACCCTGGAGGCTAACAGAAAGACCACAAGTTCAAGGCCTGCCTGAACAACTTCATAGAAGCCGCTTTCAAAATTAAAAAATAAAAGGCCTAGAGATGCAGTTTAGTGGTAGCGCAAGCACCTCTAAGCTAGATACTCTGTGCTGCATAATAAGAGACTAAATAAACAAACAGTCTATAAACAATCCTCCTTCAAGAATTCAGATTCTGCCAAGAACTAAATGTCACTAGCTTAGCCAGAAGCCTCTGTGCCATAGCCGTTGCTCTTCAGTCTTGGGGTGCAGGGAAGACCTGTCACTCTGCAATTCTTCAGACTGTTCTCAATGATGGAAGCTGAGAAAGGCTTAGCAACTACAGACCTGCCCTGCTGCAGCCAGGAGGTGGAAGCATCCAAATCAGAGAAAATCATCACGCTTAGCCAAAACAAACACTTCCCATCTGGGAGGCCTGCTGAGTGACAAGTAGCTTTTGATGTAGGCAGCACTCCTCCAAGAGCTATTTGCTTGGAAGCTGGGGGAGGAGGAAGAGGCTTCCCGCCAAGATGCCGCTAACGGTTTGCACTTCCTGCAAGACCCTCTTCATAACCCTGGGCAGAGGCGATCAGCCTGGCACATTAAAAGGAAAGTTGCTTCAGAAACCAGATTCTTCCCAGCAGAGGCTTAGCTTACACACCTTTACTAGGCCTGCTGAAGTGATCTGACTGGGGTTAGCTCAATTAGTCAGACCTTTCAGACAGAAGTGGGAGAGAACCCAACCAAAGGTCTGAACTCAGCCAACTGTTACTGTCAGGAAGTCCTGGGGTTCAGGAGTCCCATATTTTGAAAAGCCAGAGAAATTATTTTGGAAAACTGAATGTCTGCTGTAAAAACAACAGAGAAAAGCAACTCAGAAAGAAATCTACTGCCAAGAAATGGAAATGTATCTTATAAAGAACATCCAAATTTGAAGAAAATCAGAGAGCATAATCCTTCATACATGGAATTTATCTTTCTCAAGAAATTGAAATAATATTTCTTTAAAATCACTGACAACATTTAATTATTATAGCCCCACTTCAACTGCTGAAAAGTTGCACTGAGAAGTTCCATTGCTGAAAGTACTGCGAGAGCCTTACAAACCTCACGTCACCACCAGCTGGCATTTTGGTGACACTCAGGCGTGTTATCTTAGCAAAAAAAATCTCACAATGAGGAACAAAAAATAAATAGTTTGGAAACTAAACCTAAGCAGTTTCGGAGGCTTGAAGTCTACTGCCTCCTATCTGCCTAGGTAGCTTCTGTTTGGTATAGAAAATGGAATTTTCTGTTCTGTAGAAGTCTAGCAAACAGTCTCCCTCTTGGGAGTGGGCTACACGCTGATGAGCCTGGGGAAGAGGGGCACTCAGGGAGGTAATTGAATCATAGCACTTTGAATGTAGGACACTTTGCCTGGAGAGGCAGAAGCAGAGCCCAGTCTGAGGCCTAGTGGGGTGTGAG